CTATATGTAGTCAAGTTTCAGATATTCCCATAACACCCTTCATGTAAAAAAAATCAAAGAAGATTTATATATATATATCAGATACTGTGTGTTTGGACAGTTATAGTCCAGTAGAATATTTCAAAGTTGTGAGAAGCAAAATGTATAGTGTAGGATTAGAATGAGTAAAAACTTCGTGTTAATAACTTTTTTTCCTTCTTTCAAGACAACTTTAATCTGCTTGCATTACTTAATGCTACTTCCACACATGAATTGGATAATTAGATCTCATCAAGGCAAATTCTTTATTTTTTGTGGATTGTACCCGAGAGGAAAAAATCTTAATCACTTGAAAGCCTCATCTCCTCCTCCTTACCCCTGCCCCCCAAAGCAAAACAAAGTGAATCAAAACAAAACAACCCCCCCAAAACAAACAGACAAACAATAAAATTATGTTGCAATAAATTTTTAACTAGATTTGCTGGGGGGAGGAAGGAATGAATGTTGATTTTGAATAGGAGTTTTGCATTTGGAAGACTTGTTTGCACTGAACAGTATCCTTAAAAGAGGGACCAGTATAGGTTGAGTCCCCAAATAAATTATTACTATTCTTTTTCAGACTAAAAATAAAACATTTTAAATATATCGATTATACTTTCATCAGAACATAAGTATTCTATCTAGCCTATAGGTTCCAAGAATCTCTATTTGGGCTTAACTTACCATAATTTCAAAACAAAACAATGAAATGTGAAATTTTGCACATTAGGATATTCATAGTGACCACATAAACTTAAAAAAATTCACAGACTGTTAGCCATATATTTCAACTTTTTCTCACTGGTGACAATTAAAAATAGCATCAGTTTCATGTTAGGAATATTTATTTTTTCATTCCTTGTTAAGATCAGATGCATTTCTTTGTGTTTTTGGTGTTTTTTTTTTAAAGAATATTGACTTTTGGGGTCATTCCAGAAAGTGAGAAGGTAATCAGGTAAAAATAAAAAACAAAAAACCCCCTAAAAACGTACTCAATGAAAATCTCGAGCATATCATGCCACTGACTTTAAGACAAACTCTACACTGATTTCAGGCTAGAGTTTGACTTAGAAGTCTTTGGTATGATATAGGACTCACCTTAATCTGAACAGGCTTTCAGTCATATCCATCGTTCCCTGACTTTAAATGCTTTTCTTCATCTGTATTTCTGACTTGGAGTAAAGATTCAGAATTGCATTTCAAGTCTACGAAATTTTGTGGCATTTTGACTCTTATTCCTGCCCTATCTCCATTGATTTAAGATTTCTTTGCCATTGCTGAGTGACAAAAAGTTGAAAAGTTATGGCTAGTTGTATTTCTGCTTTAATAACCATACCTATATAATTGTCATTTTCATACATTAAAAAAATATTTATGCTTTCTTTTATATTTTAGTCAAGTACTTTCTTAAACAAAACAATAGCACCACTTTGGCATTGTTGGCCAAATCAGTAAACAGGTAAAGCAAATATGCATACACTTTTCTGAACCTGTCTTATCATGCGCTTACTTGTTAAAATGGAGAGCCAAGAAGATGCAGTGCTTGGCCTAGAGTCTTCACTAATCAACTTTAACCACTGTTACTAGGTCAACAACCAGCTCATGGGGTAACTGAGCATAGCCACTAGTTATGTACAGAATTGACTTCTGTAAAGAAAGCCTGCCACTAATTTACTCTTTAATCTTAAAAAAGGAATTGAACTGTAATCTGTCTTGGACAAAAGGTGCCTACTTTAGTGTACCTACAGGGACTGAATGCAATATCTCATTTTTTAATTTTCTTTTCTCTGTTGACTGAACAGTCAAAATGAGCCTTATACGAGTTTTTCACACAAATATAAGTGTAGTTTGTAAGTACATTTTGAGCAGAATATAGAATTTATTAATTTTCCATTTAAACTCTTAATGATTAATTATGATTACTATGGAGATGAGGTTCAAATTTTGCTACCTTGATGAAAGAGAGATATTAACTTCAGTGGGTATAGATCTGCAGTCCTTTTTCAACTAACTGAAAATAATGAGGCTTAATTAACTTTTTTACTTCCGCACTTCAGTGACATTCTGTGTAATAATTGGAGTTTTATGTTTATTCTAGAATGAAAAAAATCTATGACTTCTGTCATGTGATTTACATGATATCGAAGGATAGGGAGTGGGATTTTCTTTACCACTGAAATGATTTATGAGAATCAGTGGCATCCAGTGGGAGCCCTGTTCCTAAATATCTGGAGTGCTTTTGAAAATTCAGATGAACCCTTCAATTTCTCTAATTAGAAGTTTTTGAAGTCAGACTACTTCAAAAACTTTTGGGAGGGAGATGTTTTGGCTCATGCTTCAACCTCTTTAAGTAGCAGATTTACTGAGATTATTAAGCTAATGTAGACCTTTATCTTTCACATTGACTGGTATATCATGTGCTCCTTGCCGTATGACTGGAGATTTCTTATGCAAGTATGGATTTCCCATCCGTGCATTTCTCACCTCTGCGGTGGTGAAGCTACTCTCCATTTTGTGATACCATTTATTATCTAGTAAAGCAAAGTCTTGCCTTTGAAGCTTGTAGCTATTCATTATTTATTGTAGTTTCTTTCAAGATTTGTTCTACTTTGTTTAGACAGTTGTCAAATTGTGATGTTAGATGTTGCTGTCTATGACATTTTCTAATTATGATTTCTCAACAGGAGAAATACGGTGACATGAATGTAAGTGCATGAATCCTAAGATAAGACCAAAATTTGAATTAATTTACAGGAATTAAATAGCACAATGATGTATAGTTATTCAGTTATGTTAACAGTGCGTCAGTAAAATGTTATCTACAAAGAAACTTGCCACCACAGAGATCTGCAAATTGCTTTCTGTGCTCACACCTTTCCTCCCTCTTAGAACTTCGGAGGACATAGGGGACAGAAAGAGTCATGGACATGAAACGGAAATATGTATTATGTCTATAACATCACAATAATGGCTTATTCTTAGAATGCATTTCAGAATTCTTAACAACCATTGAAGTAAAAATACTTCCCTCTCTATACACTCCGCCAAAAAAAGGCCTGTAAGAGCTGTGATAGATATCAGAATTACTACCTCTGTTTATTGAATTGGTGGTTAGTTTCCCCATCTGTTTCTCTGTACTTTCTTTCTTTTTCAACATAACTATCTCAGTCAGTGACAGCTGTGACATATTCTTTTTATTAATTTACTGTTCTGTTTTTACATGCAATGGCAGCCTATTGTGCATATAAACATGTATCTCACAGAAGGTGGAGGGTTTAAAGAATTGCATAGAAATACATTGCACTTTCCTTGGAAAAAAAAACGAACCCCAAATTTCCTATGGGAATAAAAAAGGAACTATAATAATTTGTTAGACTTTTAAAACCTACCTTTCCTGTCTGTTTCACAAGAAACTATTGAGGAGCTGTACAATATGCAGTCTGCAGAGGTTCCTCTCTTGTGTTTTAATCAACAGTTCAGTCATCTACTCCCATGGATGTAGTAGAAAGTAAGGAAGATTTGAGCCTTTGAAAAGAGATACCTCCTTTACAGATCTAATCTAACCCCCCTACTTGCTCCCTTCATACAATATTCTCCCTGCTCTCTTTGGGGCTGACCAAGGGTTGCTTCATCCCTTGTCTGAGTGTACCACATGCAGGGTGATGGGGGGAAGAAATCAAGTGGGAACCACATTGCAGTTGTGAATGGGGTGGAACAGTGCGTTCTCCCCTGCCTTCTTTTCCCTTCTCCAACAGAGAAGTTCATTGCTCACCTTGGGACGCTGTTGGCTGCCTATCCCGCTTTACTGCATGGACGATCTGGCACTGAGTTGACTTACCAAAACGGAGCACAGGACACAATGTTATTTAAGGTAGAATCAGTGCAGTACCTGTCAAGGTTACATGTCAGAGGTTGTCTGGTAATCTATGTCTCCCATGAAAGGCTATTGTAAGGAACAGTTTGGAGGACATTATCTGTCATCTCTTCCTGAGGACTCTCTACACTGTAATTTGATGATTAGATTAGCTTTTCTGATTTACAGAGAGAGGCAGCAGCCTAATTAACAGTCAATTTAATCATATCTGATTGTGGAAAGAATTAAAATGGCAGAAAACTTGAGTAACCCTCTGTTACATTTGAACAAAATGCTGATATTTCAGAAAGATTTAAGCCCTGATGGGCTACCCTTTGAAGTCATTTGAGGTCTGTTTTTCAAATTGTCTTCTCTAGGCCTAGGTATCTATGAATTCCACATAACCGTAAGCAAAAACACCCCTGTTCAAGCATCTAAAAGGAAACAAGTATCTGAATTTTCTTTTGAAGATAGGAAAGTTATTTCCATGTTGGAATCTGCAGCCATTTTAGTTCATTTAAACTGAATATTTTTTAAACTATTTTGTATTTTAACCTTTGGCTTGATCTTTCCATATTTGCTTTTACTTATTACTGTTTTGGCCAGACCCTTTCATGTAACAAACTATAAAATAGCACCGTTGTACTATAAAACAGAGATTTTTACATACTGTTTGATATATGTGTATTATTGATATGCTAAATTTTACATACTGCATTATATGGAGGAAGAAAGAAGTTACCTATACTGTTGCAAAATAATTACCTGGAAGAATCATTAATGGTTTGAGAGCCTATGTATGTTTTAACTGCTTTTGAAAATCTTTTGTCTCACAAATTGCAATAAACTGCATCTTTGCAAGAGCAGGAAAAATAAAACTGTCTTGAAACAAATGCATCTATAACCCATATTCTGTCAAAATGCCACAGATGGAATTAATGGATGTTTAAAACTGTATATGTTACCTTACTGCTGCTGTTACTGGGAATGTCAAACTGTGCAAATATGAAGGGGTAGACAAACAATGTTATCAGACATTGTAAAACAAACAGCCTGTTGCTTGTATAGAAGTGCAAATAAAAAAACCCACCACTTAGACAAGGCTGATGAATGACTCCAGCAGCCAGTGTTCATAGGTTAATTTAGTGCAATTGGATCCATCAAAGGCCCATCAATTTGTAGGCTTTTGAAGGGCACAGGACTTTAAGAGATTTTGTGCAGGACATTTAAAACAGGTTAACAAACAGTAATATATCAACCACAGAATTTTTTAGCTCTGGGCTGGTTAAAATGTTCTGTTCTCTAAAGACTTAATATTGGAATGTTTAGTTGCATTGTTCACTGGGAGAATGCCCACTGGTTGAGATTGCATCAAGCTTATTAAACCATAGGGTTTTTTTTAAGTCTTCCAATGTTTAACAAATAATTTATTTACAGCAAAGTATCCTGCAGATGGCACATTCATTCTTCATTCTTGTGGATGGCATGTTCTTACATTCTGTAGTTTCTGTTTCCTGTGTTCCCTCTACTTGTATTCTTCAAATGCACTTCCTAAAGGTGTAGAGAAAAATAATTATTCCAGATAGGTTTTAATACACTGTATGACCACAAAATTTATATTAGTGGGAAAACAATTATCGTGAATGCTGGAATTGTTAGCCCACTTCTACCATTTCACAGGGAACTTAACTATTCAAAACTTCTGTATACTAAATTCTCTGTTCTCTTAGGCATAAACACTTTGATTGCTGTCATTGTTGGTCTTGGCAGAGGAAACAGCTGCATGTTGGAACTTGGATGGGCTTAGAAATACGGTAGGTACCAAAGATTTTCTTTCTTTCAGAACAAGGACGTTTGCAAAAGCAGGATGTATAGGGGCCAGGGAACTTTAGACTTGTAACTGCAGGTTTTATGGAACCTGCTGGGCTTTGGTATCCAGTGGTCAGAGTTTCCAAATTGCCGAATGGGACACTGTTACCTAGATTTTGCATAAATGGCATATTAGATGTGTAAGGTTTTTCTTGGATAAGGCCGTTAGGAGGATAAAAAGTGTGGGTTCACTGCAGGAGATGCAGCCAAATAATTTGTATTTTCAAAAAGAGACAGGGTGATGTACCAGGCAAATCGAGAGGGCTTTGGGATGAGTAACACACTCAGTTCACCGTCATTCCATGCACGGGCCAGCTTCCAGCAGCAGTGATGGGTGTGGCATACAGCTTTCAGTTTGATTTCCTTATTTGTCATGCTGGTAAATATTAGCTGGGCCCAAATCTTTGCACATTCTGTACTAGACTAGAGGCAGAATCGTTAAGTGACTCTCCATATTTATAATCCTCATCGGAAGTAAAATTCTTAGTTAACTGAATCATGTCTGTAGTCCTAAGAAAAGCCAAAAATAAAAAATCTCCCTGAGAAAGGTGAGATGTGTATGCAGCATTATCTGCTATTTAAGCCCTAAAAAAAGGGACGTGTAATCTCTAGAATGTAAAAAGTAAAGAATTTTTTGCCTGCTTTTCTGGTGGACAGAAAGAAAATGGAAGCTGTTTTGGTGCATCACAGCAGATTTGTAGATCTTTTAAAATTATTTCCTATACAAAGTATTATTCTATATATAATTTTCCATTTGCCTCCAGTGTCTATTAAATATAAAATAAATCAGAAACTGGCAAAAGATCACAAAACTTGAGCTCACTCACAGCTTATTAATTTTCACTGGGTTCGGATTGGGTTCTGATAGATATGAGTTGAATTATTATTTTCAGAATAGAAAAAAATCCTAAGCAGTACTAGTGATTGTTGAATTAATTATGCCACCAATTACTAAGAATGTTGAGCCAAACTAAGATTTAGCATCACTGACAAGCCAAAAGTTGTTAATAGCGAAGTATTCATAAAGAAGCAATGTCTTTGTTAGGCCATTCTAGATGTTCTTAGTCCAAAATGCAATACTAAATGAGGAAGAAAAGATTAATCATCTAGTCACTATTCCTGTGATCAGTTCAGTAGGATACTGGCTTGTCTTCATCAAATTTTGCTGATACCGCTATAGAATAACTTCCTTAGCATGGATCAAATACAGAAACAACAGTATCAACAGAATTCTGCTTATCCATAAATTAAAATATTTTTGCTGTTTTGTTGTCTGTTTATCTCCCTGCTTTTCCAAAACTACCCTTTCTGTCTTTAGTTTTCCGTAAGTTGTGCCTTATTTTTCACCCTGAGGTTCTCATTCTGGATTAACCCTTCAATTTTCACTGATTTCCATGAAAATCATCATTGTAGCACTTCACAGGAGTCTACCACTGTTAAGGATCCTGCCTTATGCAACAAATGCTTATATTGGTAACAATGAACTAAGAAAACAGGAATTCCTTGACTTATCTGCCCTATTGTTTTCCTCATGGCAGCAAAGCAGAATAACCTTATCAACACTGCCCCTAGGCTCTCCTCTTTGAAGAGAGTTTACCAGTACATAGGAAAAGTTATATGCTACATTTTATTTGCAAAATGTCACGCATTCTTAAAGGCTGCACACTCGAGATCTATAAAATGGACAGTGAGAACCTTGTTATGAAATAGCAGCTCTTTTGCATTGCAGTGGCTTTCAAAGTATACTTAAAATTAACTATATGTTTCCCAAGTGAAAATATAAATCCTCTTCACTACCATTGCTGTTTGACTTTAAAATGGCTTTATCATCCAAACAAAACGAACGCTAAGATGCAGCAGGGTTTCAGTTACAGCTTTTAATACTGACATGCAGACGGAAAAAAGAACTATCACGATGCACAAGCTAGCTTTGAAATTGAGGGAAGATAGCAGCTTACTGTCAGAACAGTTTCTCCTCTGGAATCAGCGTTTTGATGAATAACTGCAAAGAAGTGGCACTGGTGGTGGTAGCAGTAACATGCATACCGGAAAATGCTTTGACCCACATAACACATTTTTTCAATTATGCAATGTTAAGACCATTTAAAAAAAAAAAAAGTGTGAATGCCTGAACAAGTTCTCAGACCTGCATTTGCACTAGTATAGAAAAGCTTGCCTTATTCCTCAAGTCTTTAAAAAAAAAGGTAATTAGAAATAAAATTGTTATCTGTGATGCTTGTTTCATTATCAGATCCTCTGAGCTGATATTCAGACACAGATAAAGACAATAGGCATTTTAAGATGACAGATGCAAAATATCAACTTTGCATAAGTTAGTTCATGAACAGAGACACCCAGACTTCTAACCTATCACCCTAAGCATGGATCTTTGGAGACAAGGCAGCATTAACATGAGAATAACAACTAACTCAATGATAGTAAAGGTCATCTAACTGTGATGGAATGGTATTGAGGAGCATACAGCAGCATTCTCATCCTATTAGGGTGGACATTCATATCTCATATTAATATTACAAGATCTCTTGCTTTATTGGTAATAAATAGAAAGTCTAAAGTTTTTAGTAACAGGCATCATATCTTAGCTATGAACTCTCTGGGGTCTCTTTGAAAGTTTTTGGGTTCTGTGAGTAGTGTGATCTGTGACATAATAAAAAGACTGGAAAGTAAGCGATCGGAGAAGATTACTTTCTCAAGTGAATAAGCCAGGTTCTTCTATCTGTTAGACCTAAAGATTCCCTCATTGGCTTGGTAATGTGGCATGGCTGTAATGGAAACTAGGATTATATGCCATTGTGCATATTTTGGCCTGTAAAAATATCTGTGAGTTTATACTGAGCCAATTACAAAAGAATCTGACAATCTTAGAAAGATTAATGAGAAATAATGCAATACTTTTTATGTTTTCCTGCTGCTATTTTCTTAAACTAAAAATATGAACATCTGTCCCCTCTCTCTCTTAGTCCCATTTAGTATCTATTTAAATTTTCAAGATTAGATAAAATCAAAAAAGGATTTTTGAGAGACTCTGCCTCCAATTGATGCTTTATTGTTGTGTATATTTATGTGCATTTTCCACATATGAGACCTAAAGAAGAATAAGGACTAAAATCTAAGGAAGGGCAAAATTATATCAAAATGTACACCTTTTTGGTCCTTTTGCTCAGAGTGCAAGGGGATGGCATGGCACTCTTTTTCTGCTTTCCCTCTTCTTTATTTATAAGATTTTGAAATCAACCTTACCAATGTTCACATTCGTGTAACAATTTTCAAGGTACCTTGTAGCCTTAAATTGATAAAAACTTTGTGACACTGGTTCTGTGACACTACTACATTCACAAAGGACACAGTCTTCCCTCACATACACAATTGCTGTGGAAATAGTTCAATTATTTCCTTTGCCTGAACAGAGAACAGTTGATTTTCAAAGTTCTATTCACTGGTTTTCCAAATTGCTGTTAAAACTTAATTCACTTAAGGGTAAATAGCCTAAACTTTTATCAGCATTTCTCAGAAGAGAAAGAAACAAATGAAAGAAAAGATAGAACATGTAACTGAAGACAGAACTGTAATTCTCCTTCCTGCTCCTCTTTTGCAGTTTAAACATAAACTCAGTGTAAAAATAGTTGAAGCCATTACTTTGCCTTCCAGCACAAATACTGAAAGTTTCTCCCTGTTCCTTACTCCTACCTTACTAGCTGATGTATTTGCTCATTAAATGAGATTTTAGTCTGAAAACAGTGTCAACAATTATTCTAATAGTCTTAGGTTAAAATAAAATCTTGATCTGTAATGTGCCTTGGTTTCACGTCTGTTTGTCAAAAGTTCGGAGACATCTTTCCTGGATTTAGAAATGCTGACATATGATTAAGTTGTGTCCTTTTTAATAATCTCTGTTCGTATACATAACTAACTGCAATTGAGGTAGAATTTTATAATGGATTTGTATTATGCAATTGATAACTTTCTATTTTGTATTGGTTCTGGCAAGATGAATACCTAAGCATCTCTAATTTTTTAACAGTAAGAATTCTGTTGAAAGCTTTCAACAGAGTATTCAAATAGCAAGTGAATAAACAAAACAGTCTTTGGATGAGCATAATTGATGAGTGATCAGTAAATGAGTGAACAACAGATCCTGCAGGTTGGTTGGATTTCTTTCTTAATTTCTTTTTTTGTGAATCTGTCAAGTATGCTGTGGATGTAATACCCCTAAGTATATGATAAAAATGTGTTTATTTTTTACTTTTCAATATACTTCTGTATTTATTTGTAAGTAAAGGTCTTAGAACAGGAGAAATAATGGTCTATAGGGAAAGAAATATTATGTTTGTTAGCTACAAACAAAACTCTACACATACAGTCTCTGTAATTGGATTAAAACTAGTTCTTGATGTTGACCTTATAGCAGCAAATAGGCATTTTCGGGATTCCCAGCACACATTAAACATTCAGTGCCTGGCCCTCATCATTCAGATTTGTGCATGCAGTGTAGCAAAACTTGTTTGTAATGTAATGACTAAAGATCAACATTAATATAAAGTATAAACAGAAAAACAGCCCTCCTCCATTGAACTAAGTTATTCTACCAGATTGTGCACTGAAGGAATGATCTACTCAAGGAATTGGGAAAGCAGACCACTCACAAAAATACTTAAACCAAAACCCAAATCCTGGATTTGTTGACTAAAAAGGTTATGAGGAGATGCCAAATAAAAACTACATTAGAAGTATGAAAGGCATAAGAAACTGATTACATATGAAATCTGAGAGTAACTGTGCAACATCTTATATATTCCACTTAATCCTGCCTTAAATCTTATATCTAAATAAGAAAATATTGAAGAGGTCATATATATTATCTTACATATATATTCAATTTACATGTATATGTCTCATATATAACATGTAATACTAAGGGAGAAAAATACTAGAGCAAAAAAAAATTTCTCAAGTGAAAAATAATTTTACTTTAGTACAGTTAATTTTTTAATTAAAATCAGTGACTTATCAACACTATGAGTTAGCTAAACGCATTCATACTGGGGGAGCCTATCCAAAGAAGAAAGTATGAACATAGCATTGTCTTTCTTAATGGAGACACCTACAGCAAAAAGAAAAAAGAAAGAAAAAATATTCGTGTAAGAATATATGCCAGAGCTTTTTCATATAGAGTTTTTCTTAGGGAATTCTATTTCCTTTCTCTCGCCTTTCCTGTATTTGCCTTTTATCTGTCATAAATCTGAATAATTGTTTCTCCTACCCATTCTGTAATTTTGTTTCTCCAATCTAATTTTTTCCATCCACTGATATTAATGGAAATGTCAGTTTGTTTTTCCCATCAGATTTCTGTTATTTTATCACCAAGTTACAATCAAGAAGCATATATGATTTTTCTGCTTCTGTTTACCTCTCTCTTCCTTTTCACATACATTTTCTTTAAAGGTGTTGTTTTCTTTATTATTTTTTCTTTAGTTTTATTTTCTCTCCCCGTTTCTCAAAATCCTGTCTTTTCTGTGTGATGCACCATGGTTTATTCAGTTCTTCAATATTTCTCATCTCAGCCTCTTTGATCTAATTCCCTTTCTTTTCCCCTGCTCCTCGTTGTCCTTTTACCACCCTTTTCACCTCTTGATCTTTTTCTCCTTTTAATTTCCTGGATGATTTCTTCTGCAGCTAGGTTTTCTCAATTACTAGATAATCCCTTTAATTTTTTTCTTCTTCCAGTATCCCCTCTTGAACACTACCTCCCCTGCTGCTGCAGAAAGATGCAAGGCCTTTCTTCTGTTCCTTCCTTTCTATAAGAAAAGTATTTTCCTGCCTATCTTTTGAACTAAGAGGACAGCTGCCTAAAGAATGACATCATTCCTTAGCCCTCCAAGGGAAGTGGAGTGGAGATCCATCAGAGAGCTGGCAGGTATCTTGTCTCCTTTTACTTGAACAGAATGTTTTACCCGTCACCTTAGCAACAAGTATGGGAAGGAGCACACAGATTACTGGCCAAGCCCCTTTTCTTTTCCCACAAGCCTTAAATATATATGTGCCCATGCCCAGATAGGAATAAACCACAGGGTTTTCTTGTCTATAGTTGAGCTCTATCTGAAGAAGACTTCACTTGTTGTCATGTATGCCTTTTGGGATGTTCATGGCTAAGGTGATACTTCCCAGGAAGAATCATAAAACCCCTGCTTTAAAAGGTTGAAAACTCTTGAGGAAGAGGTGAAAGGATTCCATTCTATGGATTGACTTATGGAAAACAAACGGATGCTGGAAAGATTACAATTGTTCTTTTCATAAAGATGATATTAAGGAAATCAGTATATCGTGCTAGTTTCCTGACTTCCTATGAAATCTTAGGATTTCAGGCAGTTCCATTTCTTATAAGAAAAAATTTTCAGACAACTGCAGGAGTGGGGCCAACATATGTGTAGGACAGACAGGGTCAACAGCAATAAAATATATCGCTAGAGGCTTACAGCAGATGAGAGATAACATGTAAACAGATGTTCAGAACTCAAATAGGAGAGACAGTCAGACATGAGCTTAATGGTAGCCTAGACTAAGATGGGTTTTCTGAACTAAAGGCTCTGTTGAGCAGAGATGAAATTTAGCTACATATATATACAGTATATCTAGTATTACAAGGACAAAAATCTGGATACTCTGAACTGCACAACTATACAAATAATACCAATGAATATCTGAAATGCTTAGAGGATATACGTATTAAATAGTTAAAATGAAGTATGTAATGATTGCAGTGACTATCCAGTTAATTGAGTTCTGGTAAATAAATTTTAAACAGGCTGAAATAACGAGGAAAGAAAAAAATAATTTGTTCATTTACATGTAAAATGAATAGCAAAAGAGCTGTGTTTTCCCTCTTGATCACTCAGACTACCTCTTCCTGACAAGGAAGGATCAGTGAGGAGGTTCGGGATAAATCAGTTAAACGTTCGATGTGTGGTTCCTTTTTTAGTCTTAGGTGCTATTTATGATTGGATGATGTGAGTACTCGTCATTTACTACACAGTAGCAGGATAAAGCCTCACAACTACTAGCTTAGCAATTCCATGTTTTATTCAGTGTTCTAAGAGATGAGATAGAACACACTATTTCCTACTTATTTCCTACCACAGACACTATTTTGCAAAACTCCACTAAAACTTGGTGTCCCTAGCATGCAGAACACATCAGTTGTTTGCTATGTCACCAGCCTTGACAGAATTTTCCTTCCCTAAAATAGATAGGTTTTGGTGTGTTTTTTTTTTTCCCAACCTGGCCTACCTTTTGTGCTTTTGGCATATCAGTGTGGCGCTGAGCACGTACAGAGCGTGCAGATTTAGGTGGCTTTATTGGAGCACAATACATCTCCAGCCTCCTCAGGTCACAACTCTGGAAGCAGCATTCATCCACTATTCCCTTGTGGTGTAAGCGTCTACTGCTGGATCCATACCCTGTAGGCTTACCTATTCAAAACACAAATGGAAAGTTTTTATGTTAGAAAGAAAATGCAAAGATCTCAGAAGCAATCATATTAAGTTGCATTATTTTAACTAAATCACCAATGACAGTTGTAAAGGCTGCCTGTGTGTATCTATTCTAAGACCCTGTTCTCAGATACAGCTTTGAAAGATATTCCTGGAAATGGCCAGCTTTGGTCTCTGTCTATGGGTGGTTGCTATTTAAGCATTTCAGCAAAATTATATCTTCTTAGAAAAGTATTACTAAAAGATTTTCTTGAACTGTCTTGGCATTGAAAATGGAGAGGGAGGAAGTTGGAATCTGGCATTTAGAAGCCTTGCAAAGGAATTTGCCCTTTAGCTTTTGGATGAAAACCGATTGTTGAGCTGACTGAGGTAGCTGGTGTTTAAAGATCATAGATCATGACTGTGTTGTAGGCAAGTATTTTCTAACGAAAAAGGTTACGCTGACCCACTATGTGAAGTCAGAGTGCGTTCCAAAGGGGAAATAAATACTGTATACCACTACATAGGCCGTAAGATTTGCAAGCTCAAAAACTAGTTGGAATCAGGAAATAATGTAACAAATAACCATTGAAACGCTGAAAAAATAGGAAGATGGTTGATGGAATAGATAAAAGCAGAAGATCTTACATTCTACAGCTTTGCACAAGACAGAAAGTGGGACTGACATGACATGATCTTTCCTGTATTTTGCGTTTGCACTGGGCATCTGTAGAAACTACTTGATTGGCAAATGTTTTGCATTTTTCACTTGGCTACAGTAAAGAGTGACATTCTCATTCATCGAACTCTTACACTCTTCTCTCTTTTTTCAGTGATTTATGATTTGTTTACTAACTGTTGATTTCTCTGCTATATTATGCAAAGATTACAGACTCATTATTTCCTGGGCTTGTTTGTATGCAACTCAGCTGGATGTGCAGTTGTTATGACTAACTGGAAATGAAGAAACAGTAAATTCACAAAATCAGTAGCTGCTTACTTACCACATCTATCTTAAAATTCTGGTAGAATTTGGTTTCAGAGAGTAAAATTCTGAAAAGATTAAATGTTTTGTTTTGACATTTTCAGCATTAAATGTTTCCATTTACAGAATGAACCACATTGGTTAAGAATCCAAAAATATGGAAAAAGGAAAGAAAATTGCACCAAGAGCCAAAAAATGAAGTAACTCAACTCAGTCAGCTCTAACAATTTTTTTTTTCTTGCTTTTTTTCCTCCTCACTTCAGTTTTATCACTGAGACCAAAAATCTGTTATTCACGGAATTTGGCAGGAGTTTACTTTTTAAGAAATTACTCAAGCTAGTTAAAGGATAAGAGTATCAAAAAAGATGAAAACTCAGTTTCTCCTTGGGAAATTATGGCCTCCAATGTTTATACAGCAAATTCTAGGTTAGTATCCATATACTTGTCCTGCAGTTGTCTATTTGAAGACAACACTGTATTTTGCAATTCTGTGTGATTAAAACATTTGTCCACTGATGAAGAACCCTTGAGGCCTTAGTACATCCGTAAATGAGAAGACCTCTAGCGGTAAAGTATGTCTAACATTTTAGCCAGCAATACAGTCAGCTAAGAGCCAACTATCCCTATGAGCTTTGTAAACCCAGACAATAGGTCTTTAAATGTCTTTTTTTTTTCCCAGGAACTATAAATTAAACAAAAAGAAAAACATGCTTACTTAGTATGTTGCAATCCACTGAGGGCCTCTATACTGTACATTGCCTGCTAAATTATTTGTTTCATAAGACTAAACAGAACAGCAAGCCAGGAGTAGATTACAGTAATACTTTGATTTGTCTGTGTGTATGTGTGTGTGTTGTTTCCTGTGTATCACTGAAAAGTATCATACATATTAAGACACAGAGTTTTGGGGTTTTTTTTCAGACTATTTTCACTCACTGAGTTAGAATATAAAGGACAATCTTTTCCCTGGAGATTTTTCTGAAGTCTGTTAAGAAGATCGTCTTAGCCTAGTACTTTTACAGTTTAGCCATCATGATAAAATGTGGAGTGTCATTACTGTGCAGGATACCCAAGCTGTTCCACATTTTGTCTTGCTCCCATTTAAAACACAGAAGGGCAAATTATCTTCCTGGATATGCAGGTGTAACTCTTCCTAACAGATCCAGCTGAACTGTAGGTACAAATAATTGATTAGTTAAGCTTACCTTCCTTTTCTCAGTCTGCCAGTTTTTCATAAGCAAACACACTCTAAAACCTTCTGTTCAAGAATTTTCCTTTAAATGGTATTTCATAACAGCAAACAAATACAGAGGTTTGGTTGATTCCCTGGCTGCTGCTAACAGCAAAACTGAGGATGGACAGTTCATTGGTTAGTTTCATCTGGCTTATCATGACTTCTCTACCTAGAAAAGAAGTTACCTATTAAAAAAAAATAATCTATCACTCCAATAGAAGATTCCAGGATTAGTAATATTTTGCACTTCTAAGAATCTTACAAATGTTAGCTCCTCATGGCATTCATGCTAGGTAAATACTCTACCTCTAGGAGGCAAAATTTAGAATCAATAAGATGAAATGTGTTGGCCAGGAACTTCCATGAGTTAACAAAAGAACTTGATAGAAGAAATCTTCCTTCAGTGAGTAGCAAGACTATAAATGTCTGATGACTGACAGCAGCATTTTTTGTGGGATTCATTGGTATATGAAGGGGTTATAAAGGAAATAGTCAAATGAAATATAAAGTTTGCAGGTCTCAAAATTTTGTTTAAGATAGTTAAAGTTTAGCTTTGTCATAATTAAAGCCAAAGATGAACTGTTTGGCAAAGATGTTTTTTTTTTCTGGAAAATCTTTCATTTCCTTTAACAATAAATAGTTCTTTCCATTTTTTCTATGCTGAGCCTCTTCTTATATGGCATTGTTTGTATTTTACCTTTTTAAATTTAGCTCAATTATATAGTCTGATGCTTTCTTGCCTTAATTATTTTTTACTCAAGACAGAAGATAAAACAGTGACATACAATGGATTATATAGCATTCTACCAATTTATCAGTGTCACTTCTTGTATAAAATTTATGACTTTTTGTTAAATAAGTCATTTCAAGAGGAATAAGTTTGAATTTTTTTGACGATACAGAAAGTAGAGGAACTAGAGCCATGTACTCTAACTTTTCATAACTTCATTCATTTATTTGTGTATAATCTCTTCCCAGTAAGTCAAACAGGAACTTATACTACTTTTATGTTGGTTGCAAGATGTCAATTCTCAGTTTTATTCTCATCTAGCTACTATCTTGTTGTGTGATCACATGGAAGTTATTTCACCCTTCAGTGTCTGAATTTAATCATTTATAAAGTTGATAAAATGCCTTGAATAACCCATTGCCTGCATTATTTAGTAATCAGTAGCAACACTTGACCTGCACTATCATATGCATGAATAGTTAATACAAATCTTGAATCCTGGAATCTTTTAGGTGAAAATCTCAGTGTACTTGAAAATTATTTTTACTATAGCCAGAGCAAAGACATCTATGAGTTGTTTTTCTTTCAGACAGAATAATAACTTTATGAAGGAGGATATAATATTTTATAGCTCTTTAAAAAAACTCTATGGTACATGTAACAAATTTGGAACAGAATCACCAACACATCAGCGGTGTGGTGAGCAATGAAACTTGACATTTATTTACAGACTTAAATATTCATGTGTACGTGGCATATTAAATGCTTATCCTTCATAAAATGGTTACACTGGTATTGTGTCAAGGTTTTTGAAAGATATAAGCAATCAAGTATAATCAAAATTTGTATGACATTGAAAGTGATATTATCTAATGTGCTATACAACAGATACAGCAAATAAGTAGCAAAAAAATAGGAAAAATTATTCTTTTTCAGTAATCGTGATTCTGGACTCTAGTTTTGAGAAGTATCTGATGTCTAAATTAATTTGAAACCAATAGATTTTAAATTGCTGCTGTCCTCTTAAGTGCTGTGATATATAAAGATGCTATCACAGACAAAGATGATATAAAGTATTACAAGGAGATGCTATCACTATTATAGATAATATCAGTATTTGGTCCATCTTCTTCTGGAAGAACTGCAGGATCAGATGGTCCCAGTTCATCAAGTTACCAAAGTATGCACTTTGATCTAGGTAAATGTTCAAGCTCCTACACAGTCTGTTGGACTGAAGCACATATTCAATAGTAAGCACATGCCTGAGTGTTCTCCTACATAGGGACTGATGTATCTAAGCACTTAAGTTAATTTCTAGACCAAAATCCATATTAATAAATAAATGGCTGGTGGTTCTGCACATTTAATACCATTTTTCTCTTCCTTAATTTTTTTATGATATTGCCTTAAAATACTGACAGATCCTGCTGTGTCAGTATACTGGGCACCTATATAGTTCTTTCTCATCTTTCCGACAATTTGTGTGCTGCCTTCCAGCTGTTATCAAAAAGTTCCTTATATTTACTCAACCTTCAACATGCTGCCTGTGGACATATAACAGTCCTAGGCATTCCTTTTTTGCTGACATACACTGATTTCCTTGGAGTTTTCTTTCCTTTTTTGTCAGTTGCTAGCTCAAAAGAGGTTTCATATCATGTAGGTCAAAGTTTACTTAATAGAATTTTTGGCTTTCATTTATCTACTATATTAAATACATGAACATTTCTTTCCATGTGCTACAAGCAGATACAAAATCTAGTCACACTGTTCTAAAGTCCCCTGAAAGCAGGCCAAGGTACAGAATTCCAATAGTTAAACAGCTGGCTTCTGTACTAACAGCACTTCCCTTTAAATAATGCAACATCAGTGGAGTAATTCAGCAGGGCTTGTTTACTCTTGATTTCTTTGTTCGCCCCCTTGCCTTCAAAATATTGCACTGATGCTGCCATTGGTTCAGCTTTACTGATGGTTTCAATGTGAGAAGCACTAGTGTAGGTGGACTATAGAAGTTTCAATTGTCAAACTGTCTAGGCATTCTGTGGAGAATGATA